TCTCTCACCCTCTGGGTAAAACAAAGGCAGGAAGGAAATGATCTGGGGAGGAAGGCCAGAGAGACCAGCTCCAACCTGGATTTACAGAGACCTTGGCCTGCAGCTGTGCTGGCATCTGGCGCGCAAAGAGATCCCCACTCCCCTCTCCACGGCAGGAAGGAAAGGAAGGAGCCGTCAACTGCCCAAAGAGCTGGCTCCCTGCAGCCCAGGGGAGCCATGGGAAACCCATCTGGACACACATCTGGACATGGCCGGTGTTCCCTCTAGCCAGCTCTTCAAGGCCAGGGAATGAAGCCCCTCCATGGTCCAGCCTCTCCTCCATCCCCTCTGACACCAATAACACCTCTTCCTCTCATTTCATACAAGAAGCAGGGCCCTGGAAGGAACATGTAAGTGGGAGTCACCAGCCTGGGTCTCTAGACTGGGCTCTGTCATTTATATGTGACTGTGCCAATGACCTAATCTGAGCCTCAGTTCCCTCGTCTATAAAAAGAGGAGAAAGGTTTCTGCCCTGCTTATCTCACAGGGCTGGCATAAGGGATGGGAAAATGCCCTTTATGTGTGAGGCACCATTCCTACAAAGAAGGTTTTAAATTAGTGAGACAACTCAGATTTCAATTCAGTTCAACAAATACTTATGAAATGCCTACAAAGTACCAGGCACTGTGTGAGGTGCTGGGAATACAAAGGAAAAAATAACAATATTCTCTGCCCTCAAGGGGCTTGCATTCTACCCAGAGGACACCTGACCCTGTGAGACAGCAAGGTACAGGGAACCTAGAGAGAGAAGAGCTGGGTTTGAATCCCTAGCCCTCCGGGGCTGAGCAGGAAGTCACTGCCCTGAGGTTCCTCATCTGTAAAGTGGAAAGGTCCTTCCAGCTCCAGACCCACGATGCTGTCAGAACTTGCTCCAAGTCACAGGGATCAGAGCATCACGGAGCTAGAGCCGGAAGGGTCCGGATGAGGAAACTGAGGCTCGGAGAATAAAGGAATTTGCCCAAAAGCACAGTTAGTGTCTGAGGCAGGATTTGAACTCAGATCTTCCCGACTCCAAGTCTGGCACGCCTAACCACTACATCACCTAGCATCCTCACCAGGGAGAGGAATGTAAAATAAAACTGGCAAAGTAGGAGGGAGCCAGATTATATGGGTTTTGAAGGCCAGGTGGAGTCACCTCTAACTGTCTGGAAGAAATCCCAACCAAAACCCTTCTCAGGGAGACAAGCTAGGTCTGAGTGGATAGTGTTATGGGGCAGCAAATCTTAGGCTGCATTGTGAGGCCTGGTATCCAAAATAAGGGGGACAATGGTCCCGCTGTCCTCAGTCCCCATCTGGAGCACACAGCCCAAGGGTGAAGGCAGGCAGGGCCAGAGAAAAGAAGCCTGGGGAGAGCATGGGGGGCTCTCTTTCAGGTCAGGCCCTGCCATGGAGAAAAGGAATGGAACCAGGACCCTTTAGCTCAGTCCCAAGGAGTAGACCCAGCACCGATGGGTGGGAATTCCAGGCAATGAAATTTGAAAAACTTCCTAACTGCAAGAACTGTCCCATGACATAAAGTACTGCTTCAGGAAAGTAGTGAGCTCCCCATCACTAGAGGTCTTGGAACTTAGGCCGGATGACAACTTGTTAGCAATGTTCTGGAGAGAATTCTTGCTCAGGCAGTGGCCGGGCTACGATACTGGAGACCACAACACTGAATGTCACTATATAATAGTGACAACAGCGGCAATAATAGTAACAGCTAACATGCACATAGCACTTACGATATTATATCATTTAGTCTTCACAACAACCCTGGGAGGCAGGTACTATTATGATTTCCATCTTACAGTTGAGGAAACTGAGGCAGACAGAGGTTAGGTGACTTGCCGAGGGTCCCAGGGCTAGGAAGTGTCTGAGGCCAGATTTGAACTCAGATCCTCCTGACTCCAGGCCTGGTGCTCTGTGCACTGTTTCCTAGCTGCTCCCTATACAACTAACAAATCCATGCTGATCCAGGCATTTGCTGGTCCTCAATAACACTGATTCACAAGCTTCTCTATGACAGGATTGAAGGGCAGATGAGAGGCTGTGAATGGCCTCCCCCTGAGGCCAGGCTGGCGATTCTGGGGATGACATATTCTCCAGCAGCCTTTGCCTGTGATTCCCAAAGGGCAACCTCCTGCCTGGGCTCCTTGGGGGTCTGGGGGGCAGGCAGGATCCCAACTGTGAGAAGCTGTCCTCTAGGCAGCAAAACAAAACACCCCCCCCCCCGTGAAGCTAAGCATGTGCCTGGCTGTTTCTTCCCACTATCATTCAGCTACGAAGAAATCCCATTGGAGCCTGGCCTTCCACCACAGTCACAGGAGGCCACTGTCAGGCCTGAGACACCTGCAGGTAAGATGGAAATCATAATAGTACCTGCCTCCCAGCGTTGTTGCAAAGATCAAATGAGATAATATTGTAAAGGGCTTAGCACAGAGCCTGGCATATAGTAAGTGCTATGTGCATGTTAGCTATTATTATTATTATTATTATTATTATGCTGGTGGTGTTACTATTATATAGTGAAATTCAGTATTGTGGTCTCCAATATTGTAGCCCAACCACTACCTGAGCAAGAATTCTCTCTAGAACATCCCTAACAAGTTGTCAAGACAGACTGACCTCCCCCTTGGGGCCTAGAAGTGAGCTGACTTCCACTGGAGCCCCACCTGCCTCCCCTGGTGCCAAGAGGCCCCCCCAGTCCCCCCAGATCCCAGATGGACTTCTCTGTATGGACTCCTCTACGTGGTCATCCCAAGGGTGGGCAGGCTTCAATTCAGACTCACACAAGCTAGAAAGGACCTAAGAGAAAGTCTATTCCAGGGGTTTTTTTTTTTTAACCCTTTTTGTGTCCTGGACCCTTGCAGCAGTCTAGTGAAGCCTACAGCCCCAAGCTCAGAGCTTCCCAGCGAGCCTCCCCTGCCTCCAGGCCTGGCTTCCCAAAACTGAGCCAAAGAGCCAGTGCATAAGAGCAGGCCCGTGAGACCCACAGAGCAATGGCGGCCAGCTCTGCCAGGATTCTTCCTGTGGGTCAGCCAGGAACCCTGCACCTTTCCCTTCCTCCTCCCATCCCAAGGGAAGGGGTTGATCTTCTTGCCAACACAACTAATTCCAATTCTCCCCGCCAGGCCTTCCCTCCCTTGCCCTGGGTTTCAACTACTAACTTAATTAAAAAGCTGATTTTATCAAGAACGCCCGAGTCTGTCCTTGGAAGAGATTCAGGCAAGGTTCAGATTTTGGAGACAAATGGATGGTGAATGAGAGGCTATAGCCCTGGCGTCAAAGCTGGGGGGGGGGGAGAGAAGGAGGAGAAGGGAGGGTAGAGACGGGGGCAGGAGGGGAGGAAGAAGAGAAAGCCTTCTTAGCAGGAACACTTTGGTTCTCCCACATTTCCTCCCTCAACCAGGGCCCCCTCCCTCTCCACCTTTATCTTCTCTTTCTTCCGACCAGTCCACTTCCACACTAGGGGACTGAGCAGCCCAAGCAGCCCAAATAAGGGAGAGCGGAGGGCCGGCCAGAGGGAGCCTTTTGTCACTGGTGACTCGGTGTTGGGGAGACCCGAGGGGTAGGAGTGAGTGGGCTCCCCATTCTTTTCCTTCTACCCCGAGAAAAGCCCCGTTGACCCCGTGGCCCAGCCACGTCCAGTGCTCTGTCCACCTGAATCCCATGACATGAGAGGCCACGTAAGACAAAGGTGAACGCTGGGCTCGTGTCCTGGCACTGCATTAGCAGCTGGGGGACCCTGAGCCATACATGGGCTGGAAGGGACCTCCTCATTTTACAGATGAAGAAACTGAGGCATGGGGGCTAAGGGGCAAATTCACGGGACTCCTGTTTTGGCGTCCCTTCATATCCCGATGGCTTGATTGAATCACAGATCTCACAACTAGTGGCCAGTTTCCTAAGCTCTCCAGATCCAGTGAATGCCCACTGCCCCACACTGCCTCCTGCTTCACCCAATTCCATTCAATAAACACGGATTCAGGGCTTCCTGTACTTGGGACTGCAGAGGACAGTGCCTGCTCTCAAACAGCTTACATTCCTTGTACAAGCCCACTCTCCAGCCCTGCCAGGCCCCATTCAGGGTCAAGCCCCAACAAATGGATGATGTGCCTCCAGCAAAGGCCGACCGGCATGAGGGTCTTCTTCATAAAACTTCTGCTTTGGGCACAGCCATCCCAAGGGGATGTGTTTAAAAGCCTCAGTCTCTTCATCTGCAAGATGGGGCCAACGATTCCTACACACCCCCCTCTGTGGGCTCCCATGTGACACAGTGGTAAGTGTTTGACAGACACTTGCTGACTGACTCACTGATTGTAACCACGAACCACTATAAAATGGGCTCCCCATTATTAGTAAAAGTCATACAGACCTACAATTAAATAGCGGGAAAAGCCTGGACTGGATCCCACTTAGTAAACTTGTTGGCAATTTAAATAAAAACACAACATAGAAATCAAATATTATTATTAGAGACCAGACATGAGAGTCAGGAGGCTTCAGCAAAATGCTTATCATCATCATTACTGTGCATCACCATCATCATTAATGGCAACATCATTAATAAAGAAAATAACAGCAGAGAGTGACGATGATGGTGGTGGTGGTGGTAATGATAATGACTGATAAGCCTGGGGTCCTCACGGAGGCCTGGGATCCTCACGGAGTCTTGGGGTCCTCACAGAGGTCGGGCCAACAGCCTCTAAAGGCCCTCCCAGCTCTAAGTCTATGCTCCTGTCATCTGTGATTATATTAATAAGTGAATTAATTAAATTAATAATTAATAAGTCACACGCTTGGGTGACTTGGGTGAGCAAGGACCCTAGAGGAAGGCACAGAAAGCAAAGGGAGAGGACACCAGATGGGCTCTCGTCACCTAGTCACTCTTCTGAGCCTCAGTTTCCCCCCTCCCCAGGACTCTGCACATGGCCCACTAGCAACGCCAAGTCAGAATTCCTCTTGTCCTCGATGCTCACCTGGTTCCTGAAGGTTAAGGCCACCACGCCCCCGACGAGCTCGATGATGAGGCACATCCCCAGGATGTACATGAACTGTGGGATGGAACCAGACAGTCAGTTAGAGATGGAGGCCCTCCGACACTGCTGCTCTCATGCCCATTTTACAGGTGAGGTAACTGAGACTCCAGAGCAGACGCTGCTTACTTAGAGTTACATCCGACTCCAGGGCCACACGGGGCAGCCAGGTGGTGCCATGGTGCACAGAGCCCTGGGCCGGGACTCAGTCAGGAAGACCTGAGGTCAACTGTGACCTCAGACACTTAACTAGCTGTGTGACCCTGGGCAAGCCACTTAACCTCTGCCTCAGTTTCCTCACCTGTAAAGTGGAAAAAAATAACAGTACCAGTTTTTCCAGGGTTGTTGTAAGAATTGAATGAGCTAACATTTGTAAAGCACTTTGTAATCCTCAAAGAGCTAAGTAAATGCTCATTGGAATTGTGTTATGATGATGATGATGATGGAATGGAATAGGATCATCGCATAAAGATGCCCAGAGAGGCTTCAGGGCATAGTGGGCAGAGAGGTGTCCCTGAAGTCTCTGATATGAAAGAGAAAAGACGGCAGCAGAGAAGCCGACCATACTAGGGACTCCTGAGTTCAAATCCTGCTGGAGATATTTAGTAGCCATGTGACCCTGGACAAGTCACTTAACCTCTCTCTGCCTCAGTTTCCTCATCTGTAAAACGGAAATAAAAGCACCTGACAGGGCTATCAGATGAGATAACAAGGCTCTGAAGGCTCTGAAAACCTTGGTCAAAGTCGTGTATGTAAATCCTAGCTCTCATTATTATAATGTATGAGGTGCATGCCCTCCTCATTGGATTCCTAACTTTTTTCAAGATTCTGCTCTACCCCCGCTTCTGCAGGAGGCACTTCCCCACCCCTCCAGGAGATGGGAGGGTCACCTTCCAGCCACTTTGTGTTGATCTTGTGTCTGCCCAGTTATTTACCTGTGGTCCCCCCACTGGAGGAATGACTGAGTGACCATGACCTGGGGGATGTCACCTTCCATGCTCCAAGTCTCTGCCACCCTCCCGCATCTGTGATGTCCGGCCTGCCCTGGAGGAGCGAGGGCAAGACAGACGCAGACTAGGTAGAAGTAGGGGCTGAGGCCAACAGGAAGGGCCGGCTCACCGCTTGGAGGAGACAGAAGTTATCCCGGAGGGAAGCCAAGACCCCCACGAAGGAGACGATGAACATGATGACCCCGAGGAGGATAAGGATGATGGCGGGTGCCAGGAAGGCACTTTCGAGGGTTTTGTATTTCTGGCGCTCCACTTCTGCATAGATCCCCACAGAGAGGATTAAGGCACCTATAAACTGCAAGTGGAGAAAACAAATGTTGTTTTCTTTTCCCATCAAAAAGTGGGGGAGAAGACACAAAATTACACATTGATCTCTACTGTGGCTAGGAGAACAAGGTCGGACAGAGATGGGAACTGGACCTGTGATGTCACTGCTATGGGAACTCCCAACTGAGGAAACTCCCTCCACCCATGAGGGGCAGCTCCCTCTCTGATTCGGTCTTAGAGATCGGCCTAGCACACAGGGTTTAAGGGCCAGCATCTATGTGTCAGAGGTGACACTCGAACCCAGGGCTTCTGGGTCTCTACCCACCAGGCCATGCTGCCTCTCATCAACTGGATAAATATTTCACATAAGTAAGCAAAGCACTTACTATGTTCTAGGCACTGTGACAAGGGCAGGGAATAAAAAGAAAAAGCAGAAATGGTTTCTACCCTCAAGAAACTTACATTTTAATGGAAGAGACCACATCTATGTAAGTAGTTCATACAGAGAAGATAGAGGAGGAGAAGGGGAGTTAGAGGGAGCTACTGCAGGAGGTGGAGTTTGGGCTGAAGCTCTCTAGATAGGACTGAAACCAGCCACAGGGAGACTCCTAGATATACCTAGAAACCTGGAGACTTCCTGGATTGACCTAGCCACAGGGATACTCTCGGATATACTGGCAACCCCAGTGCTTCCCTTGGCATACCTAGAACCAGCCAGCAGCCAGGCAGTGTAGTGGGTTGGCAGAGCTCGAGATTTGGGTCAGGAAGACCTGAGGTCAAATCCTCCCTCAGATACTCACTAGCTGTGTTAACCTGGGAAAGTCACCTCTCCCCACCAGGCTCCATCTCCTCATCTGTAGAATAAGGGAGTTGGATTCCGTGCTCCCCAAGGTGCCTTCCAGCTCTAAGTCTGTGTTCCTAAATTTACCTTGACCCCCACACCTTCCCTTGATACAGTCCCTAGAGACAGCTTGATAGTCAAAAACCACTAAGAGCTCTAGACAGGTCTTCCTTGATATACCTAGAAAACTAGAGACTCCTGTGATAGACCTAGAATCAGCCATAGAACATTCCTAGAAACACCTAGAACCTCAGAAATTCCTTTTGATATGGCTGAAACTAGGAACAAAGACATGTCTACATATATCTGGAACCCTGGAGATTGCTTTGATATACTCAGAAACAGTGTTTTTGTTTTGTTTTTTTCCCATCTGATCCCTGTTTAATTAATGCCTGGTGATAGGAGCCACTCACTCCTCCACACGTGATCTTTCTGCTCAGTTTCCACATCCAAAAAGTCCACTGAGAGGTCTAAAGAGTCCCTTTGTAGATAATCCTTCTCCAGGGCAGGTAGCAACACACAGGTCTGTTAACCTTAACAGGCTGTTTGATTTAATAGGCCACCCCCTGAGCTCCACAGAGTCAGAAGTGGCGTGCTAGACAAAGAGTCAGACAGGCGGGGCAGTCACGCCAACCAAAAATTTAGGTAAACATTTTGAAAAGAAAAGTACACAATCTGCCAAAGATAGGCCATAACTCGAGCAGACTCAAAAATAGCCCGGCGGCCTCAGGGATTTCTTTTTACTGCCTCTTCCCCGCTTCCAGGGATGGCCGTGGATGGCAGCTCCAAACGAGAAACCTATTTCCACAAAACAAGAACTTCAGTGCTCAGAGTCCTCGGGTTAAATGATGATAACTAACATTTATTAAGGGCTTAACTATAAGCCAGGCACTGCAGAAGCACCTTACCATGATTATCTCATTCGATCCTCACAACAACCCTGGGATGTGAATGCTATTATTATCTCCATTTTACAGACAGAGGTTAAATGACTTGCCCAGGGACACACGGCTAGTGTCTAAGGCCAGATTTGAACTCGGGTCTTCCTTACTCCAGACCAGGCACTCTATCCACTGTACCACCTAGCAACACTCAAGGACCATAAGCTCTAGTACCCAGGGTACTCTGAATCTAGGGACCCTTCTCTCTGAAGAGACAAAAGGAAGAAAGAACATATAACTAGACTGTTCAGGTGCTGTGTCCTGGGGCAAGAGCACAGACCCTGACATTTCTTCAGGATTCAGACACATGATTCCACCAGGGGTTGGGGAAAGGAGTGCTTCCTCTCTCTCTGTCAGCATGGACCAAAACCTCGTCTGTAACTCACAGTCTTGGGGAGCTGCCCAGGGTCCAGAGGAGTTTCAGTGAAGTGCCCAAGGACATGCAGCCAGGAGGAGCTGAACCCAGGTCTTCCTCAATCCAAGGCACTAGACCCACACTTTCTCTCAACCTTTTGTCATGGTTGTTCAGTTGTTTCAGTTGTTGGAATTGGAAATTGAGAGGATGCTCATCAGCTGGGCAATGGCTGAACAAGCTGTGGTAATGAATGTAATGGAGTACTACTGCGCTATAACAAATGATGAGCAGGCAGACTTCAGAAAAACCTGGAAAGCCTTGTATGGACTGATGCCGAGTGAAGTGAGCAGAATCAGGGGAACACTGCACACAGTAACAGCCACATTGTGCGATGACTAACTTTGATAGACTTAGCTCTTCTCAGCAATGCAAAGATCTAAGACATTTCCAAAAGTATCATGATGGAAAACGTTATCCACATCCAGATAAAGAACTATGGAGTCTGAATGCCGATCAAAGCATACGATTTGCTCTTTTTTCTTCTTCTGTTTTGTTTTGTTTCTTCTTTCTTGTGGTTTTTCCTATTGGTTCTAATTCTTCTTTACAACATGACTAACGTGAAAATATGCTTAATACGAATAGAGAGTCCATATCAGATTGCATGCTGTCTTGAGGAGGAAGGGGGAGAAAATTTAAAATTCAAAAACTTATGGAAGTGACTGTTGAAAACTAAAAATTAATTAATTGAAAACTACCTGTTCATATCCTTTGACCATTTATCAGTTGGGGAATGGCCTGTATTCTTGTAAATTTGATTCAGTTCCCTAGTTTAGAAATGAGGCCTTTATCAGAGGCACTGGCTATAAAAATTGTTTCCCAGATTTCTGCTTCCCTTCTAATCCTGGTTGCATTGGCTTTGTTTGTGCAAAAACTTTTCAATTTAATGTAATCAAAATTATACATTTTGCATTTCACAATGTTCTGTAACTCTTGTACGGTCATAAATTCTTCCCTTCTCCATAGATCTGACAGGTAAACTATTCTTTGCTTTCCTAATTTACTTATAGTTTCACCCTTTATATCTAAATCATGCACCCATTTTGACCTTATCATGGCATAATGTAAGATGCTGGTCTATGCCTAGTTTCTGCCACACTGTTTCCCCGTTTTCCCAGCAGTTCTTGCCAAACAGTGAGTTTGGCCAGAATTTGGAGTCTTTGGGTTTATCTATAGTCATTGACTACTGTGTCTTATGTACCTAACCTATTCCACTGATCCCCCACTCTATTTCTTAGCCAGTAGCAAGTAGTTTTGATGATTGCTGCTTTGTAATACAGTTTTAGATCTGGTATGGCTAGGCCACCTTCCCTTGCATTTCTTTTCATTAATTCCCTTGATATTCTAGACCTTTTGTTCTTCTAGATGAATTTTATTATTTTTTCTAGCTCTATAAAATAATTTGTTGGTAGTTTAATTGGTATAGCACTGAATAAGTAATTTAAATTAGGTAGAATTGTCATTTTTATATTATTAGCTCAGCCTAACCATGAACAACTGGTATTTTTCCAATTATTAGATCTGACTTTATTTGTGTGAAGCGTTTTGTAATTGGGTTCATATGTTGATCAGTTTATTAACTGTCTAGGGCAGCAGGTTGCCATCTCAGCCTATCACTGGGCATCCTTGGCCAACCCTGCCACCTCCAGGAAACTGACCCCTAGCAAGAACAAAGAGAGCTCTGGGGACTGCATCTGTTGGTGGGCTGACCCCTGCAGTGTCCCATCCATGTCAGCTACAGATGGACCAATGAAATTGATTGAAGGCTACCCAGTGTGCTGACAGCCACAAACCCAGGAGCCTCTTTGAGTCCTCCAGAAGCAAAAAAAAAAAAAAGTCACTCAGGATGTGAACAAGCCCTGTGAAGGGCCTACTACATGCCGGCACAGTGCTGGGTGTCCAAAATGAAATGGTCCTTGCCCTCAAGTAGCTTACTTTCTATCAGTTGAAAATAACTTAAAGGCATATAAGTAAATACAAAACACATGCAGGAAACACAGTAAATGAGGGTGGGGGGGAAGATGGTCAGGAGAGGCCCCAAACATTTGAGGTGGGCTTTGTAGGAAACTCAAGATTTTAAGAACCAGAGGTGAGGAAGGAGTATATGCTGGGTCTGAGCATGAAAGACCTGCCCTGGTGACCCCCAAACAACCCAAGAGCCAAGCTCCCACATTCCCAGTCCCCTGCCCCAGAAAGGCCCAGACCCCACTATTCTCTTGCAGAATGAGACTTCTGTTGTTACAAAGAGATGACACCCCATGGGGCCAGCCCCATGGCCTCGGTCTCTTCAGGAACTGGTCACTAGGCCCGACAGCCTTGTCCTCAGGAAGTCTGCTACTTCCTTTGGTCTAATCTGGTGGTCTTTTGTTGGAATTTAATCCTTTTCTCTTCCTCAGCAGGGATGCAAAAATATTCAGGAAATACTGTGGACACCACAGAGTTGATGGGAAGGCATCAATGTGCAATGCTTCCAGTTCTCCTTTCTGGGAGAAACAAAAAACACGAAATCCCTTCTTTCTAAGTGTCCCTTACAAACTCAGAGTCATTTTGATTCGGAGGTTGGGTGGGGCGGGAATTGCTCTGGCCCCAAGATTTTGTCAATGTAGGGAAATCCCAGAGCCCCAAAGACACTCTCTCCAAGGAAACAAATCAGCAACTCCTTTGGAATGTATGGTCTCGAGTAGCTGCTCCGGGGCACTGAGGGGTTGAGTGATTTGCTTTAGAAAATACTCATCTTAGCTTTTTTAAAAAAATGTGAAAATGCAGAAACAATTTTGTTGGCTTTTTTTTTTGGTGAAGGAGGCACCAAAAATTCCTAAAAACAAAACAAAATA